CCAGGTCGTACGTCCAGCGGCACATGTTATCGCCTCTTCAGCAAAGACAGTTTCTTGGCAATGGCACCCAGCTCTGATCCAGAAATCCTCAGAGTTCATTTAGGACAAGCCATGCTCAAACTGGCAGAACTGGGTGTCAATGGGAGACATTATGACTTTGTACAGTCCCCAAGTGAAGAAGCTCTCGATACAGCTGTTAACACACTTGTGGAAATTGGAGCTTTGCTGGATGGTGACATTACAGAGACTGGTCGATTCATCTCCAAATTACCATTTGATCCCAGACAGGGACTGATAGTGTATTTTGGACTCAAAGATGAGCTTCTGTATGATGCTGTTGTTATTGCAGCTCTACTAAGCAATGATTCAGACTTGTTTTACAAAGGACTCACTGATATGGATGAGCAGCGTTCAGCAAGGAACAAAAACCAGTTTGCTTCCCCTTATGGTGACCCTTTCACCTGGTTCAACGTTTTCCAAGAATGGTCATCCCTCGCCAACAAAGAGCAATCAGCGTGGTGTGCGAAGCACAGCGTCAACTACAAGATAATGAACTTCACAAGGCAATGTGTTAAAGATGTTGCAGGTATTTTGCAGAAAGAGCTGGAAATTGAAATGTCTGAGCGTTTTTCAACTGATGAAACTGCCATTGATCGCTTAAGGAAAATGATCTTTAAAGCAAACTTGTCAATGGTTGGCCACTATCTAGGTCATCACAGGGCAGGATACTTTGCCTCTGGGATTCACCGCCAGGTGCATTTTCATCCATCTTCCTCTTTGGTGTGCCAGAATGCTCATCCAGAATGGATTGTTTACTCACAGTTTATCAAGACTTCTCGAGATTTCATCAAAGGCATCACTGTTATTGATGAACATTGGGTTCAGGAAGCTATTCAGAAGAAAGACTTGGCTTTTGATATTGAAGAAGTGAAGGGAAAACAGATTCACCGGGTTCACCATGAGGAAGCTGGAACTGCAGTCTTTAGATCCATAGTAGGGCCGCGTTACCGGAACATTGTTGATCTGGAGGACTGCTTGGCAAACTCTGGAATGGGGACAGTGGTTGTTGAAGCTGACCGTGATCTCGGTACAGTGGATATTTTTTCAGCCAGCCCATCCAGTGATGAGATTACAAAAGCTCTGGATGGCTACAAGCAAAGGACCGTTGAGGGTCTGCAAAGTAGAGAGCGGGAATTCTCCTTAAGCAAAACATCCAATAAAGAACGGAGTGGATGCAGAGTAACGCTTGGACAAGGTGCTTCAGTGAAAGCTGTTCTCATGCCTGGGCAAAGTAATACAGTCTTGATCAAGAAGGCATCTGATGCAATAACTGTGGAAGAAATGAAGACAAAATTTTCTGCATATGGAGACATCAAAGACTGTTTCCGTTTTAAAAGTGAAGACCCATGGGGTATGATTAAGTATGCTACCTGTTCAGAAGCAGAAAATGCGGTGAATGGGACCAGGAATGATCAGAACAACATTGCAGTTTTGAAGGTTGACCAGACTGGCAAGGAAAAAACAGGCCAATTTCAGGCACGTCTTTCTTGGTTAAGGCGACCTGTTAAGGGCAAAGGAACAGCATTTATTAAATGTTCTCCGCTGTTGCAACCTTTTCTTGTGGGTCAATCAATATTGCTGGATGGAAAATTTTGTGACATCAAAATGCCAGAGAAAGGAGATGATTTGATTTGCTTTAATGCAAGAGGTTCTTCAGAAGATCATATCAAAGAGGAAGTTGTGGCTTTGTTGAAAGACAAAGGCCAGGATGAAAAAAGTCTAAGGAAAGACATATTCATTTCCATGGTTCGAGAAAAGAGAGACTGTCTTACGCCAGGTGAAAAGAAAGAAATGGAGACGAGAATCTGCAATCGATTTAGTGAATGTCTACCTTCCTCTCAGGACACCTGCACTGTTGAACTCAAACCACCAAAAAACACAGACATCAGACAGATTGGCTTTGTTTATTTCAACAATCCTGTCTCTGGGTTCCGTGCTTGCCAGTATCTACAGGGAAGTCTCACAAGCGATGATGGTCAGCCTATTGATATCTGTCCTAAGCTGAGGACAAGTATCCATATTCCTCGTAGTATCATGAAAGCCAACGAGGAGCGCTTTAATGATATCATTGAGGGGTTGAAGACTCAGAAAGCAACTGAAGTCACCAAAGTATCACTAAAACAAGGAGATTACAGGCTGGACATATGTTCAAATGAGGCCCAGTGTATTGTTGATGCCAGAGAGATCTTTCAGTCAGCTCTTGAAGGTGAGGTCATTGAATGCAGAAGGTCGACTTTACTGGAATGTCTCCTCAAACGCCAAGGACTGGATGCTGTTCGTAGTGTGGAAAAATCAGATAATGTTCTCATTATTGTCAATCAAAGGGATGGAAAGCTTCATATCCATGGTGTGGAAAAAGACGTCGCCAAGGCAAAACTAAGCATAGACAAGTATTTGAGCAGACTGGTTGATGGCAGAGAGGAATGCATCAGCTTAAGAGGTGTAAAGCGTCCCCCAGGTTTAATGAAAGCATTGTTGCTAAAATATGGAGATACCCTGGGTGAGCTTCAGAATGAATTTGGACTGAATAACATCAAAGTTGATTTTAGGCAACAAAAAATCTCTGTTGTTGGGCAGGATGAGGCTTTGGAAAACTGCATCGCGACCATTGAAGAAATGGCAACCAGTCTTAGTCAGGGCTTTTCTGATGTGTCCAAGTTCGAGATGCCAGAGTGTGTGGCGTGTCTGTGTCAAGTGGATACAAGCGCTGAGCTCTACCGCCTTGAGGGTTGTGGACATTGCTACTGCCTGGTGTGCATCAGACAGCAGGTGATAGTGTCGGTACAGGACAAGCAGTTCCCTCTATCTTGCGTCAAGGAGGACTGCAACCGACAGCTCGTTTGGAAAGACTTTGAATTTTTCCTCCACAAGAAATGGATACAGGAAGAAAAACTCGTTCAGATGTCTCTGAATGCTTATGTTGAACAAGAGCCAGATAAATACAAGTTTTGCCCAACTCCAAATTGCCCAGTTATATATGAAGTAACACTCAACCCAGATGGATGTGTGTTCACCTGCCCTTCGTGTTTTTCAAGCTTTTGTTCTTCTTGCGGCAAAGCCTCCCATCCAGGACTCACTTGTGAAATGTCACAGAGTTGGAGTCTTGCTGAAAGAGAGCTGGAGCGTTGGTTGCAGGAAGACCCATCGAAACGCAAGCAGTGCCCAGAGTGCAAGACTCCTATTGAAAAGATAGAGGGTTGTAATAAGATGCACTGCTCAGCCTGCCACATTGTCTTTTGCTGGCTTTGCTTGCAGACTTTCACTGATGAGCAGCCTTGTTATGCTCATCTTGTTAAAACACATGGGGGATTTTGCTAATAGGGAGAGTATGCATTTCCCTTGGTTTGTCATTTGTGGCTAGCTGTGAATGCCAGGACAGTTCAGCACCTCCCTGCTTCTGACCCCTACCCCTTCCCACCCTACCCTGCTCATGCCCCCCCCCCCCCTAACCTCACACACACACATGCACATACATACACACACACTTGTACACCCACAAACACATTTTCTAATGTATACTAATATTGTGTCTTTTAAACATGATTGTTTTTGTTTTTCACCTTTTAACATTTTATTCCTTTATTAGGGGATATGAGAAATGATGGTGTTGCTTTGAAGGTGCTTCAGAAGTTCCCCAGGTTGTGCTCTTTCCACTGTCAGTTTCTTAGATACTTGGATAATTATAAATCTTTGTGTTATATATACATTTGTTTCTTTTGCCTTTTCGTCCCCTGTTGCCTTTGAGCTCGGAGGACATGCTGTATATTTTGCTAACACCGAATTATTTGGAAGAATCAAGAGTGTGACTACATCTGCAGTACACTTTTTGATCGTTGTCAAGACTTAATGTAAGACGCCTGGAATTGTTGTTTGTCATAGTGATTGCCAAGATTGAAGTTTTTGGAGCAGATAACTGGTTTATGTTCTGGTTTATATTGAAAATGTAAATATACTTAATTCGTTTTATGTCATGGAACCAGTAACCACAGACAGGAATATTTGAAGAGGTCAATACATACATCGTGAGCGAACTGGTCAAATGTTATACTGAGCCAAGAAAGCAACATTTTTCAGTAGAGAGAAAAAACTGTTTTTTTCTTTTCACTAGAATTATATCTAATTGCACTTACATTGCATTTATATTTTCTTGCTTTTTTCAGCATTTAGAATGTGAATACTGACTGGAGTTTACCTTTAGGCCATTTCCAAAGGAGGGATATTAACATAATGTTCTTAAGCATAATAGAATTGTAAATGAGCTGATTTATCAGTTTCATGCTCACACTGTGCCATAAAAACATAGGGGGAACTGCTGCTTTTTCTTTCCTCATCTTACTATCGTCATTTTTCGTCTAATTCTTTTGTATGTTTGTCACTCTCTTGTGGACTGCTATTTTGGGGGGGCCTTGATAGTCGAAGCAGACTTTGTGCTGTTGAGGCTAGACAGGTGACCAGAGTAAGCCTGATTCCCTGTATAAGCTTCTTTGTTGACATCCACCCCTTGGCGCTTTTATGACCTAATTCAGTTGCGAGGGCCGTAAAACCTTACTAAAGCTAGACTAACTGACTATTTGGACAGTACCTGATAAACAAAGGCACACATAGATGTGAACAAGCTCAGTAGACAAAGAGGCTGCTCCGCAATGACATACTTTGACAGGTCAGATGAGTCAGTTCATTGACCATTGACCAACTAGTAGTTCCTCTGGGCGCCAGCTGATGCCTTCGCTGTTTGTCCTATTGGATTCCTTTCCCTCTAGCACCATCCAGTGTCCTTACACTGCTGATATAC